CAGTGGCCGCAATGCAGTGGGCTAAGGATGACCACGTGGTTCAGAAAATGGCCGCCTCCATGTGGCACTTTCAAAATGGCCACCGGAGCCTCTGATCACGCTGCCGGGAGGATCGGAACAGCCGCGGCTTGTCTTTTTAATCACTGTGGCTCCTATGCTGAGCGGGGTCGGCGCAGCAGAAGGCAGCGAGTACATGGAGTAATAGGGGAACGGAATGATCAAAGAAGTGCCGTTCGCCATGAGGAGGCTGTCAGCACCAGAAAAAAAGCCGCGGTTTGCTACTTTTAAATATGCGACTTATTCCCTTGGGCTCACAGCAAGCTCCCGGTAAGCTGTGCTTTGAAGCCCATCACCCCCACTGGCCCGGGAATCAGACAGGGCTCTGGCCCGCACAGTAGGAGGAAGGTGCCCCAAGGGGCTCTCCTATCCTGCACAAGGAAGAAAAGACTGCCCCTAGGGCCGCAGCTGAGATAAATTTAAAATTTAGAGTATCCAATCTATCGAATCAATTAATTAAATATAGTCAATTAACAGTAATTTTCCTACCTAAGAGCCAAAGCAGTGCTTGGACCAAAAGCCTGAGAGGAAACTGGGAGCCAGTGGGAAAAGGCGGAATATTAAAGAAATTTCCCTCAGTTTATGGACAAATCACGCTGTGACAAAACCCACGCATAACCCCTCCCTCGATTCTACTGGAAAATATGACAATTTCTAGTTGAGATCCCAGTGGACTGTTTCTTCTGAAAGGGGTAATAAATATTTAAGTCTAATGGAGGCATATGATGAATTAAAAGATATGGAATGAATTGGACTGAACTGCAGATGCAAGTTCTCTCAAAATATGACAAGTGATGAAAGGAGCCTATAGCTGGCCATGGAGCCCAAGAATTCAGATCTTCCTCTTGAGTAGGGAGGCCATTGGATGTAGATGTTGATTGGAAAATCTATGTTGTAAAATAACTTTTAAAAGTTGGTTGACTCGGAATTGGCCTGGGCCATACTTATCTGTTCTTTTAAGCATGTTTTCAGAAATAGATAAAATGTTTTCTGTCAATATGTGAAAACTTTATTAGATTACTATGTAAGGAATTACCTGTTTCTACACTAACTGCAAGAACAGATATGTTCTTATCCATTCCCAGCATGCATCTTAAAAAATGGGTCTGAACTTGTTCAAGTGGGGTAGATTCATTAATCTACAATTCTGCATTGTAGGTCAGCATTGGGACTATTTTTGTCCTGAATATTTTCAGCATAGCAATCAAGGTATCTGGCTATCATAGACCAGTTTATAAAACACAAGAATCACAATTAATTAAGATGAAAGGAAAAATAATATATCTAAAAACAATTACTATTAATATTATTAATGCTAATAATTAATAGTGTTAATATTCTGTGAATATTATGTAAGACTATATAACAATAATTAAGGAGATAAAATCAGATTGATCTTATAAAAATGACAACATTTTAAGATAAACAAATTAAAATGACCAAGATATTTAGTAAAGAATGAAAATAATAATTCCTTGAATGTGAATAGAAAGGGTGATACAGAATATGTTTTATCAATTTGATTATTCCTCCATCACATGGACCCAGTCTCTGGATTTTGTTGGCATCTTCCTTTAGTAATGACTGTTGGCGTTGAATATGGGTAAGGATACGGTCCTTAATTTTGGGATGCAGCAGGTAACTTAGCTGGTTGGAGAGTATGTGCACAGTGGCTCAAGAAAGTGTTTCTAGGTAGAGTAGAAAGTCTGGTTACAGTTTTAAACCAATGACCCACTGTTTGAGATCAGCTAATACACCTACACAGCCCATCAAAGTGATGGGAATAATAACGTGATAAACTGAAAGAATAAAAATGTAACTGGCTTTCTTATCAGACAAAGTCGACCAACTGCAAACTGTTCGATCTTCGTCCTCAGGTAATATAAAATGACAACTCTGCACTGTCTCCTGTATAAAGTGTGACGTAAAGCAGTCAGCAGGGAATCAGAGATTGTTATGCTACTTCAGTTTTCTACTGGCAGCTTTGTTTCACATATTGATCACCAAATATGATTTTTTTTAAAATTTCAAACATTCATGTTTTTTCACATGCATCACAAAAATGTAAGCTTGCACATTGCCTACAGACAAAATCACTGCTTACGCTTGTAGTATTTGGTAATCTTTTATTTCTTTAAATTTAAGTATTCACTATTTTTTTCACTGTTAGGTTAACGCTTTGACGCCATCTTTATGTGTAGGTGCACAGACAGTGGTGGTGCTTGCCTTGGTCCTTTAGGTACTCTGCTGTTCCAGAAATTTGGGGGGGGGGGGTAAAAAGAAATTGTTTAGTCCCCTTCATGTCTTAGAATGAAAAAAAAACACTTTTTAATAAATCTAAAATTAGATTAGAAAGAATCTACTTTCTATGTTCTATGCTCATTTCTCATCTTCAATCAAACAAGCTTTGTCTGCTTTGAAACAATACCTCAACAAACCTGTTTCTGAACAAAACTTTCCTATGTATAATATAAGTGTCTCATTTATCTTACTGCATTGAAATCTAAGAATAAATTATTAGTCTGAGTAAAGATTACATTATTGTACTAGATCCCGCTTCCAAACTTCTGGTTGGACGGTTGGGCCTATTTTTTGCCCTCTCCGGGCTCTGGAGACTTTCCTGAAACCTGGGAAGGGCGAAAAAGGCCTCTCCAGCCCTCTGGAAGTTAGAAATGGATCCAGGCTCCAGAGGCTTTCCTGAAGTCTGGGGAGGGTGAAAACTCCCCCTCTGTGCAGCGGAGGGGTCGTGCATGCATGCAAGGGGAGTCGTGCGTGCATGCACAGGTGGGCAGGGTGCCCTGCATTGTGGGTGTGGGGAACGTGCATGCTATCGCACGCACACATACAATTTTGGCATGCATTTACAAAAGTGTTTGCCATCACTGAACTATAATATGCTTTCCTAGCATCTTTACTATCTTTCATATTGAGATAATTTCACAATAAATATAAAAATCTACACTTAGCTCAAAACTACTTTTGTTTACCCTATCAGGATTTTGCTGGACAAAAACAAACTGAGATTTTCAAAAGTAATTCAGCAGACATATTAAATAGCCCATAGTTAATGAATACTAAACTGAGGCCAGGAAGATCTGAATTAAATTTCAAATTATTCATAATTCTGATCTAGTGACTATGGACTATGAAATGTTGGGTCAGCTCTAACATATGAATCGAGAAAACAACTTCACAGGAATTTTTCACACTACTTTTTTGTTACATCAAAATGTAGCATTGATCAACATCTGAATATGATTCTGGGTTGCATAATTTAAATCTGCAGGAAAGGGAATCAGGGATTATACAATCTACTTAACAGCTAACAGTGATCAGCAATGTTCTCATGAGACTTCTGAAAATATGTGGTATCCCAACCTCACAGTAATACAGAGCTACTGGGAAGATTATTACTTTTCTCCAGAAGATAAAAGTATATGTGTTTTCCCTCATTGTGCTTTGATTTCAGAGAAATTAAGATAAGGAGTTTGCAACTGGGTAGGAAAATAGAGTATCATAGCTGTGTTTGAAAACTTCATCACTCAGTTAAGGGCCACATTCAGTGATCCAGAATTCTTTCCTATCCACCCATAGAGAATCAGGTGTAGTGAAGGCATCAAGCTAGAAACTATACTCTCTAGTTCCACCTTAGGCACACGGAGCCAGCTGGGTAACCTTGGGTCAGTCACTCTCTCTGTGTCTTAGCAATAGCACTTATATACTGTTCACAGTGCTTTACTCTCTAAGCAGTTTACAGAGTCAGCATATGGCCCCCAACATGGGTCCTCATTTTACCGCCCTTGAAAGGATGGAAGGCTGAGTCAACCTTGAGCCAGTAAGAGCAGAACTGCCAAACTGCTGGCAGCTGGTGATCAGCAGAAGTAGCCAGCAGTACTGCATTCTAACCATCTTCTCAGGAAGGAAGCAATGTCAAACCACTTCTGAAAAATCTTGCCAAAATACTGCAGAGGATTATCCAGGCAATCTCCAAGAACAGGACTTGACTGAATGGGAGTGGAAAAATCCAATGCCATATAAAATGTAAGAACCCCTATTTTCTTATAAATTCTTTTACAACTCATATAAAACTGTCTGCACATTCAAAACAAAAATCAGAAGTGTATCTAAAATCTTTCTCTTTAGCTTGGTGTGCACTAAGAGTAATTTTTATAGAAGTGCCTTAACATTAAATATTTGATCTGCAATCTCAAATCATTTAATCAAGCCATACTATGGCTTCTGTTCATCTATGTATCTGTTAGTCCTAGAAAAATGTTTTAAAAATGTAATGCATGGCATAAAGTTATAATAAAACAGTCTCCTTTTCCTAACCTTTTGGCTACTGTATGATCACGTATAGTTGAAATCCTGTCTTTCACACGGATTTCGTGTGAAGAGGTTTGCACCTGTGCCTCTGTACATATGCGAGATGAACGCCATTTTTTTCCTCGTGGTATATCAACATATGAGGTCTGAACTTGAGCTTCAGTAAATAGAGTAGGTTTTGGCTTCCTTTCCACTGTAGAAATTTGATCTAATTTTTCCCTTTCTTGTATTTTAACATCTGCAAATTTCATTGGACCCTCTACTAGCTTTGGAAATAATCTCAAATCTTCTTCAAAAGACAGGCCAAAACTGGTACTTTGCATTTGAAGCACTGCTTCCTCTCTCATGGTCCATAATTCGAGCAATGATTTTTGCATCAGAGCCCTACTGTGTTCTAGGCGGAAAGTCTCAGTTTTTGTGAATCCTGATGCAGGAGTTGATGGTCTCCTTGGACTGGAAGTTCGTGATGGAACCCGAGACTCAGCTATGCATGGAATAAAGGGAGACTCAGTTATGTGTGACCCAGTAGGAAACTCTTCAATGCTCAAAGGTGCAGGAGACACTTTAGTACTCAAAGGGGCAGGAGATATATCTCTGTGTACAGGAGCTGGAGATACCGCCATGTGTGATGGAACAAGAGGTAACTCCATGTGCAATAGAGAAGACACCTCTGTGTGTGAAAGATCATGCGATGCATCCATATGTGATTGGGTGGATGACTCATCTATGACTGATGGGGAGCTTAGTAGAGGGCTCCCAGGAGATTGTTTCTGGGCATTTGGAAGGTCCTCTGGAGCATGCTTATCAGTTAGGAAGATTTTAGCACTGATATCTGGAAATTCAGTCATAGTGGTTTTTATTTGGTCTTCCACTGGCTCTGTCACCTTCAATATTTCAGGAGTAGATGATTGTTTTAAGTTTTCAGTCTGTTGTGAGGCAGGGAATACCTCAGTAGTTGGTGTCAAATAGGATAGGGAAGTTTGAATTTCAGTGTCTGTTAGATTTTTTGTCTTCCATATATCGTCAGAGGAGGTCTGCACTTGGGTAGTGACTTGGCCTGGAGGAAGAGATTCTGCCTTTACAACCAGGGATGGGTGAACTGGGATCTCAGATTCAGAGGGGATAGAAATTTTTTCTGCAGATCCTGGCAAATCAATCCAAGATGTTTGCAACTGTGCATGATTCAGTTCCTTTGCTTTCCATATGTCAAGGAGAGAGGTTTGTACTTGGGTGTCCGTTTGTGGTGCTTCAATTTTTGCCTCTTCTAGTTCAAGTGAGGTCTGTTGCTGAACATCCGCATACCTATGAAATGGAGGCCACAAATCTTCCTGAGCCATGTCAGCATCTGAGGTCTGCATCTGAGCATCCATTTGTGACACTAGATGAGCCTCTTCTTTTGCTTTCCATAGGTCAAGTAGAGAGGCTTGTGGCAGGATATCCATTTGTGATGGTGGGGCTGACACATCTAGTTCAAGTGAAGTCTGCTGCTGAAAGTCAGCATGCAAATTTGAAGGAATATCAGCTTCTGATGTTTGCACTTGAGCGTCACCAGTCTGAGATACAAGAGAGCATTCTTCCTTTCCCTCTAGTATATCAACAAAGGAAGTTTGTGCTTGGGTGTCCAGTTGTTCTTTTTTCCTCCATATATCTGTCAAAGATGTCTGCATTTCAAAATCAGATTTCAGCTGCTGAGAATGTGCCACTTTTGCTTCCTCTAATTTAGTTTCAGATGTCTGCTGCTGCATGTTAACTAATTCTTTAGCTTTCCATATATCAATAAAAGAGGTCTGAGTCAAATTGTCTACGTGTTCTGCAGAAGGAGATGTAATTCCTTGCTTTGACAATTCACTTGCAGAAGTTTGCACTTGAGCATCCATTTGTTCTTTTACTTTCCAGATGTCAAACAGTGATGTTTGTGCCTCACTATCAACTACTAATGGAGGAGTTAAGTCCACTGTCTTGGGTGAGTCTGATACTGAAGTATGCATCCGGGCATCAGCTAAGTCTCTTGCTTGCCATATTTCAAGCAAGGATGCTTGTCTCCGAGGTTCTGATTGTTTTGGAGAAAGAGATTCTATTTCTTCTGTGGTCAATTCAAGTCCTGGAGTTTGAGTTTGAGTTTCAGCTTGCAGGCGCGATGCCCGCCACCTATTTCCAAATGGAATTTCAACATCTGATGTTTGTACCTCATTGTCAACTCCTGGAGACCAAAGATGGTCTTTTTGGAAAGGAGTCTGGGAAGTTGATGTTTGAAATTCTGGAAGCTCTTGATACCATTTTCGAATCTGAGCTTCTATTACTTGTGGGGTAATAAGGTACTCCTTTCCTTCTGTTATCTCTTGGTTTTCATCCTCAGCCTCAACCAAAGATAAAGAGGAGAACTGCTCCTGGAGTTTGGTCTGTGACAAAGAAGAGAGCTTTTTCATTAGTTCCAAATCGGATGTTTGCACTTGAGCTTCTTTTTTGAATGATGGTGTTGCAGATTCATAGTCTGAGGTTGGTAACTCTTGTGCTGAAAAGGGACGCTTCTTCAAATGCTCATCACTGAAAATTCTGTCTTGGGTTTCAATATCTGACCAAGAGGAAGCCTTCCGCATTAGTTCATGACTTGACGTTTGCAACTGGGGTTCAGCCACTGATAGTGAAGAAATTTTCTTTAGAAGTTCAGCATCAGAAAATGGTTCCATGGTCTCAAGCTGTGCTAGTAAAGAAAGCTTCTTTAACAATTCAATAGCTGAGGTTTGGACCTGTACACTAGCTTGTGGGTGTAATAAACGCCACTTGTCCCACTGCCGAATCAAAGTGTCAGATGTCTGTGCAGAAGCTTCAGTCAATTGAAATGGGAGAGATTTCTTTTCTGTGAGCAAAGGAGCTCCCCACTCTTTTTTTTCTAATTCAAGCTCTGATGGCTGTATCTGGAATTCAGGTGACTCTATCACTGAAGTAAATGAGGTCTGAACCTGGGCTTCAGCATTCAATCGAGCAGTACGCCAATCATTCCCAGGAGGTGCTTCCACAGGTAAAGTCTGGACTTCAGCATTAATATATGCAGGGTATAAGTTGCTTGGTTTCATCAGTGATGACTGGGAAAATGACAACTTATTCTGGAGCTCATTCTGGAGCTCATTCACAATAGAGGATGCATCCTCCTTTTCTAACATATAATCTGAAAATGAAGTCTGTACTTGTATGTCTGCCTGTGAAGGAATGCGCAAATCAGTAGGTGAAGTCTGCACTTTAGCCTCAACTAATATTGGCAAAGATGCAATCTTCTCTAACAATTCTAGATACAAAGGTTGGGTCTGGATAAACTCTGACAAAAATTCTGCAGGCTCCCTATCTAATATGGAAGTAAATGAGGTTTGCACCTCGACTTCCTTTTCTTCAGGTAGCGACAATAGTGATGTCTGTACTTGAGCCTCCATTCTTTCTGGTAATGACAGCAGTGATGTTTGCACCTGGGTTTCCTTTTCTTCAGGTAAAGACGACAGTGATGTTTGCACCTGGGCCTCTTTTTCTTCAGGTAAATACAGCAGCGATGTTTGCACCTGGACCTCTTTTTCTTCAGGTAAAGAAGACAGCGACGTTTGCACCTGGGCTTCCTTTTCTTCAGGTACCGTTATCAGCGAAGTTTGCACCTGCGCTTCCGTTTCTCCATGTAACGATAACAAAGATGTTTGCACCTGCACTTTGTTTTCTTCTGGTAAAGAAAGAAGCAATCTTCGCACATGAGCTTCAGCATCACAGAGTCTTCTTAATTCTGCGAATGAAGTTTGGATTTGGGCATCAGTATCAACTGGGGTTGTGCTCCGCAGGGGGACAAATGAAGTTTGTGCACGAGCATTAGTTTCTACAGGTATGCTTGAAAATGTAGTCTGGATCTGAACATCAGCCTCAGATGATGATTCTGCTTCTACAATTGGTATTGAAATAATCGAAGTTTGCAACTCAACTTCTTTATGTAGTCGTGACCACCGCCATCTATTTCCTTCTGGAATTTCCACATTAGATGTCTGTACCTCAGCTTCAATAAACAAATCATCTTCCTCCTGTTTGGAGAAAACATGATTATCTTGCATTGAAAGTCAGTTATCTTTTGGAGTTGAAAACTATTCTTTTTCGTTTGCAAGAGCCAAAAATCTGGATTCCTATTTAATATACTGTTTGAGTTTTCCAAGGCTACTCAGGGAAAATGAAAATTAAATTAAATAAATAGGATTGTTTTGTTCTAACTGCACTGAGCTGCTAATTCACATTAATAAATAGAGATCTAGTATTTATGCATGCTAGCTCTTAATCTGGTTTGACTTAAACTGTCTAATTTTTCTCAGGAAACTCTCTGCGATAATACTCTCACCAAACTACAATTTCCTACTTCATTTGGATGACGCCAAGGTGTGTGTGTGTGTGTGTGTGTGTGTGTGTGTGTATGTATGTATCTGTGTGTCAGGCTGGCTTCAATTTTTTTTACTACTGGTTCAGTGGGCATGGATAGGCATGTGGCCGAGTGGGCATGGCCAACTTGACATCACTCACGCCCACGCCCACTCAGTCGAATGCCGCCCCACCTACCCACGCCCAACAAGTCAGTGAAAATTTCTGCTTTGCCAGCTGGGAGGCTAACAAAGAAGCCTCACTCTTCCCACCACCGCTGCTTCTACAACGCTGAACGGTTCGTGCCACCCTAGACACATACACACACACAAACACACACACCTGCTGCGGCATGAGGTGAGCGTGGCTGGGGAGAAATCAGAGGGAAGGGGAAAAGAAGGTCAACCTTCTGCTAGAGAGATGGGAAAACAAGCCAGATTGCCTAAGTGAGCGTCCCCTTCAGCTGCCTCTCGAGGTTGGACCTGCGATTGCTCTCGCCCACCCTGTTTCTCTTCCTCATGGTTGATGCCATGTTTTGCGGAAATAAAAATGGGCATGCAGAGAGAAGTGGGAGAGGAAGAAGCAGGTCCAAAGCGGGAGGTCAGGCGCCCTACATTCCTGCATCCCCTCCGCTCACCCATCCATAGCTCGCCCATCCATGACCGCCCAAGAAAAGACCTTAGGGGCCCCTGTAACGGGGAAGCAGAAAGGGAGTAAGAAGGATGGAGACAATCAAGTGTGGTATGGAGGTGATGGCCCATGAGTATCTCGGTAGGACTTTTGCCCGTGACCTGGCAAGGAGTGGTGTGTTGGCCCTTGAGATACGTTTGGACTCTGGCTGGCCAGGGAAGGTGATGCATTTGTGCGAGGGCCTCCTTGGCCGAGCAGAGAGCTTGTTTGGCCAACCGATTCCCTGTGGGGTGGTACGGAGCGACCTGGACATGGCAGATGCCTAGACAGGCCAGATACGTCTGGAATGTTTCAGATGTGAATTGCAGCCCGTTGTCAGAAACAATGATGTCTGGAAGGCCGTGCATTGTGAAATGGGTGTCTAAAATTTGGATGGTTGCGCCAGATGTGGTCGAGCGCATCAGGAAAAGTTCGACCCATTTGGATAGAGCGTCGACTACTATCAAGAAGGTATGTCCCTCCACAGGGCCCATGAAGTCCACGTTGAGGCGACTCCACGGGGCAGAGGGGGTGTCCCACTCCTGGGCAGGGGCAGCGGGTGGGGCAGGGTGAACACTTTGGCACAGAGGGCATCGCTGAACCCAGCCAGGAATGTCTGCGTCCATAGAGGGCCACCAGGCATAACTGCAGCCTAGGCATTTCATCCACAAAATGCCTGGATGGCCCTCGTGGAGGCGGGTGAGGACTTGATGGCGGAGCACAGAGGGAATAACAACCCTAGAGCCCCACAAAAGGCTTCCTGTAAAACTGATAACTTGTCACGGCGTTGGAAGTATGGCAGGAACATGGCAGAGCGAGTGTCCGTCGCCCAGCCCCTGCAAACTGCGTCCATAACCCTATGGAGGACAGGGTCCTCAAGGGAGGACTGCACAATGTCAGCCACGGATAGCGGCAGGCGCAGATCATCAATAAGGCAAATGGTGGAAGCCGGGTCCGAGACAAGCTGGGGCAGGGGACAGCGGCTCAATGTGTCCGCGTGGCCCATGTGCTTGCCAGGCCGGTAGAGTAGGGTGTATGAGTAGGAAGCTAGGAATTCAGACATGTGAGGGGAGATAATGGGAGGAGTTGGCTTGTCTCCCACCAAAAGGCCCAACAGGGGATTGTGGTCGGTGAGAAGGGTGAAAAGGCGACCATAGAGGCAGTGGTGGAAATGTTTTACTCCCGCCACGGCCTCCAGGGCCTCCTTGTCCAGCTGGTATAATTGCGCTCAATCTTGGACAAGGAGGAGGAGTAGAATGCGATCGTGGCCTCTGAGACATCAGGAAGGGAGTGGCTCAAGACGGCCCTGACACCGAAGGGCGAGACATCACAAACAAGGAGAAGGGGAAGGCGCTCATTGTATTCAATGAGCACGGGGGCAGCTGTCAAAAGGGCCTTGACAGCCGCAAGCGCTATCAGCTTGTCTAGCTCCGCGTCGACCCTTTCCCGAAGCGCAAAAAGGCACTCTCCTGGCCTTAAGGTGGATAGGCGCCACCAAGGGATCCAAATTAAGGGAGATAGGGTTGCCGTTGTAAGAGCCTAAAGCTGGATCGAATACATTGACAAATTTGGCTAGTAAGGAGTCAAGGTCAGAGGCCAGGCGAAGGGAATTTATGCCGGCACTAGATAGATCCAGGGCTCGGAACCAGTTGAGCCCTAACAAGGAAGCCAAAGGGTTGCGGACCACAATGAGGGGCGGGGGACCCTTAAAATGGCCATACTGTACAATAAAGATGCCACAGCACACAATGGGGATAGGGTTCTCTTGATAACCGCGGAGGTAACACTTGGAGGGGAACAGTTGATGCCGGCGGAGACGTGGAAGTAAAGTCTTAAGCGTGTCCCATGACATAATGGAGCGGGCCAAGCCATGGCTCCATGGTGCAGGGCTGGCCTTCAATGAAGATGCGGAGGTGCATCTTACCACGATCCCCCAAAGCAGTAGAGGCAGAGTCCACCATTCTGTCAGGGTTTGGCCCCCCAGGTTCCGCGATGGCGTAACACCCTTGCCTCGCAGTTGAGGAGTTTGAGGCAGGCCGGCAGTTAGAAGCAGGAAATCTAGTCGCACTCACTTCAGGAGGACCGGAGCAGCAGACGGCTGCAATGTGGCCCTTTTTCCGCACTTGTGGCAAACGGCTGCCCGGAACCTACAGGAGGAGCAAAAGTGGCAGCCTCCGCAGCTGAGGCAGCCACTGCCATCTCTGAGAGAGAAAGACTTCAGGCGATCAATGGCAAAGTCAACTTCAAACCATAGCTCCTCCGGGCCGAGCTGACAGTTAACAGAAGAGTGAGGAAGTGTAGCCATAGCCGAAGGACGAAATCTCCTGAGATCAGGGGGTGGATTGATTGGCCATTTCATAGGCATGTGCCACGTCCACCGCAATTTTTAAAGATAGTTCGGCTCGGGAGAGAATACGGCGATGTAGGTTAATGTCCCTGAGGCTGTAAATAAATTGCTCAAGGAGCGCTTCATCCAAATCCACGAATTCACAGTGGATTGTGGCGGCCCTCAGAGCGGCTACGTAATGGCTGATGGATTGCCCCTCAGCCTGTATGCACCACCGAAAAAATTGCCTCCGTGCGAAGGGAGAAGGAGTAGGTTCATAGTGAATCTTCAGTTTAGCCAAGAGCAGCTCCCAAGGCATCATATGAACTGGAGTAGGGGCAGACAAGGCTCGCGCAGTGGCAAACATTTTGGGGCCACAGTAGTGCAGGAAAACCCCTCTCTTCCATTTCACAGAAAGTTTGGTCAGGTCGTGAGCTTGTAAGAAACACTCGAAGCATTCAAGGAACACATCCCACGATTCTGCCTCAGGGTGGAAACCCGCAAAAACTGAAGCGGCAGCCACGGTAGGAACTTGAACAGGGTCCATTTCACTCGACCTCGTCGCCAGTTTTAAGTTTTAAAAAGATGGACTACAGGTGAACGTTTCTTCACAACGGGTTATTGCTTGAGTAACTAGAACAAGTAGATATAACAAGAACTGTACAGAACCGAGTAACAACAGCCGCCTGACAGCTATAATGACAGCTGTCAGGCGGGGAACCAATCAGGCAACGGCAATTCTCCCGCGGGCTAGCAGCCACGCCAGAGCCAATCAGATCTTCTTCCTGCTCTGGCTTTGACTGCCGGTCGCGTCCGGGAGGATGTAACCTTGTCCTTCTCCAACTTTGACTTCTCAAGCAGATGCGATCAATGAATAGATGCAGTGTCCCACAAACCAAACTATATCCAAAAAGAGGACATTTAGGGCCCAAACTGTAATCCCACTAGAGAGATTCATTGCTACTGAATAACCCATGGGTTTGAGAGCACAGATCTGGGATGCAGAGTAGCAAGATATGTTTCTTGTTGCATGCCATTGCAAATTAGCCCTAGGTCAGGAAAAGAGATGCCTCCTTGGTCGTACACTGAGGACTTGCTCTACTTTTGAAACTGCATCTATGTTCTGGTTGGCTCCCTTCGGGGTCTCATCTTGCAACAGTATCACAATAGTCTAGCTGCAGGCCATTTCAGGTTATTTTAGAGACTCCATCTAGTTTTCTGGACTTTTTGGTGGCTGCGACTACAACATGACATCCACAGATATGTAACAGTGCAGTGTAAACAAGCCAAAACATCAAAGATCCTCTCCCCCAGATTGCAGCAGCCTTTGCCCATATCACAGAGATTGTGGGGAACTATCTATATGAATTTCATCAGTGAATTGCCACTGTCTAAAAGAGACACTATTATTTTGGTCATGGTAAATATGTTAATCAAAATGGTCCATTTCAGCCTATGCTCAGAGCTACCAACTGCATGGACCATTGCACAGCTATCAGTTCGGCCTACTGTGGCTTGGTGTCACATAGGCATCCTGCCATTAAAGGCTGGAAGGGGAAGGAGAGAATAGAAGGGCAATAAAGCTGTGTGTATATGTGATGGGAAATAGGGAGGGGGAATGATAGGTGATAAAGATCGGAGCAGCCTGGATCCAGTTTGTAGCAGCGCCTCAAGGTCAGGCACCCTGAGAAAATATATGAATTATCCCCAAACATCCCAGCATTCTCAAAACATTGTGATGCACTCGGATTGGCTGGAAACAGACCAATCACGGGAGAGGGATGGGCTGCAGACAAATCTTTCTGTATCTTTTGAGAACAGGAAAATTCAGAGTTAGCTTGACTTTACTGCAGCCAACATCTTTAGTAAAAGAACCCTTTGCTTTAACCAAACGGAGTCAAGGGTCTTTCTTTCCTAAGGGATCAGATTAAGACAGGGCTGGCATTAGGCTAGCTATGCAACCTGACTGCATAGCTAGCCTAGGGGAAATTGTCTCTAGTCTAGAGGAAATTGTATCTTCCTGGAATGACCAGGAAGAGATTGAAGGCTGGGGGGAGGCATCCTCAAAAACCCCTCCTGGAGGGTGGGATCTATCCGAATGGCTGGGAGAGAATTTTAAACTATTCTTTTATTTTGCTTTTCTTTTTTTTCTTTCTTTGTAAGCCGCCCGGAGTCCTCCGGGATTGGGCGGCCTATAAATTTAATAAACAAACAAACAAACAAACAAACAAATGATCCACCAAGACTCCAATGTCCCCCAGGGTAAGAAATAAGGAAGAATGGAAAGAGAAACCTGTGGGAGCTGTGGGAGCTGCTGGTACAAGAATCAAGTGATGCTGTAGGAAATGGAGGAAGAATCAACCACAGGCGAGCCAGAGCAAGAGGACTGCATGCTGGAGGAAGCCATAAAAATTCCTGAGGGGTTAGGGTTAGCATGAGCAGTCTTAGCGCAAGAGGCATATCCCACTGACCAGCTTACTCCAGCCATGGCAAATGATGGGACAACTACCTCTGCTGCCACAACAGCAGCAAGCACCCCAAAAGCAGCAACTGCCCCAATGACCAGCTCCAAAGTCCAACTTGCGCCAGTACCAGGGCAGCCCCAGCATGACAGAGAAGATGCTAAGATGAGTGACCATGGAGGAATTGTAGTTGAACGGATGGTCACTCTCCACAATGATGCTGCCTCAGAGCTGAGAAAATTTGACTGCTTCATGGTCACTTCAGAAGCACTTCAAAGACCCTTTCACGAATCGCAAAGTTAGAGACCACATAAACACCATCAGCCAAGCACGCAGGAGTAGCTGAGTACACCCAGGAATTTTGCAACCTGACTGTCAGGTTGTCAACCCTGATACTGGCTTGCCAACTGACTGACTGGCCAGGAGTCATCTTGATCAGGTATTCTGATGGGCTAAGTGATGAGGTCTACAACACCTCCATTTCCAGAGATTCCCCCTCATAGATGGTATGTCCTAGCAGCAGAAGTGGAAATCAATGTGGCTCAATTCAAATACCAGCTGAGCTATGGATGGCGAAGGTCCCTCCCTGAAAAAAAGAGGCCCCAAAACTGGTGCCATGTGAGCAGAGCCCATGCCAATGATCCACTGGCTGCTTCAGGTGTGGGAAGGAGGGGCATCAAACTGCCAACTACCAAGCTATACACCCAACCCAGAAGACAATTCAGGATCCTGCCAAAAATTCAGCAAAACTCCAACAGTGAACCTGTGACACCACTCTGAAGGGAATAGAAGCTGTAACTTTCCCGCCAACTGAACTCTGACTGACCTGGTTGGCAGTCAAGCGGAAAGCAAATCAGACTATGACAATTATCCCTTGGTAAGTCACAAGGTCAACCCAGTAATGATCCCCATAGAACTGCTGGTTTGATCCTTGGGATGCAAAGGGGACTAGTAGCCAGTGGTGGGATCCTGCTGTTTTTACAACCAGTCCGGTATTTGTGTGCTTCATGTGTGCATACCTGACGCATGCTCTGCACACATGCACAGTTTCAATGGAACCTAATTTTTCATGTTACTTCTAGGGAGTAACAGCTGTGGCGTGCAATCCATTCTGCCATACAAATCAGGGTATATGTAAGTAAAGCACAGGTATGGGAGAACAGGTTCACTCCCCAGCTGATTGTCAGAGCTACCAGTTCGGCCGAACTGGCTGAATCCCATCCCTGCTAGTAGCCCTCCCGGACTTGGGGTGCACCAGATACCTGATCAATTCTGCCCTTGTTGGGAAACTGGGTGTGAGACTCAAACAACTTAATGCGCCCATAGCTTTTTGCCAGCTGGATGGCTCAGTAGCGGGGGGCGGGGGGATCCCAGTAACATTTATTACTAAGCCAATAGAAATAAGGATAGACATACACACAGAGACTCTTAGCTTCGCCATAGCCCCTGGCATAGAAAGTCTTGTGTTAGGACTGTCTTGGCTCCAGAAATGGAACCCTATGTGAACTGTGAAGAGGATGGTGAAAAGAGCCATCAAAAACTTACTGGATGAAACCAAAAAGGGAGGTAGGAGAGCTGTAAAAGACCGTCCCCAATGTGATCTTTGGATCCCAAAAAGTATAGGTTATCTTTTGTGAGAAGGGATCAAATGTACTCCCAACCCACCAGCCGAATGACTATTCTATATAGAAATCCTACTGGGAGCCAAACTATCCAAACCTAAGTTGCATTCCTAGAGAACTGGAATATTGTGAACTTTTATAGTAAAAAATCTGAAGCATGAATTCATCCAACCTGCAAGACCAAGGATGGTTGTCCTGGTACTGTTTAGGGAAAAGAAGGATGGCTCTATTCATGGACTATCATGGACTTAATGCTATGTGTGTCAAAAACAGTTACACACTCCCGATCATGAAGGACATGCTAGCAGATTTGGGCAAGGGGAAGGTCTTCACCAAGTTGTGTTTGCGGGAGGCATACTACTGCATGAAGATCAAAGCTGGGATGAGTGAAAAATGGTTTTCAATTGGCCTTTAGGATGTTTCCAATTCCAGATCCTCCCTTTTGGACTGCAAGGACCCCTGCTGTGCTTATGCAGCTAATTAACGAAGTGCTGCATGAACACTTGAACAAGAGATTGTTACTTTATCTGAGTGACATTTTAATCTATACT